CAGCTCAGATAGAGAAGGGAGCACCAAAAAAAGGGTATTGGGAGGATCCTCCCAGAATGGGAGAAGCATGCTGAAAGTAGACTATAGACCAAACATGATTGCCACTCAATGCCTCTTTTGCAAACCACAACACCCAAAAGGAGAGAGAGAACAGAGGGAAATGCCCTGCCACAGAGGCAGGATGGGATGTGGGGGATGGGGGGTGGGAGGGATACTGGGATCCGTGGTGGTGAGAAATAGGCACTGGTGGAGGTATGGGTATTTGATCATTGTATAATTGAAACCCAAGCACAAAATTTGTAAGTCTACAACTGTACTTCATGGTGTCTCACTAATAAAAATTTTTTAAAAAAATTTTTAAAAAATAGATGCAAATATAGAAGTGGAAAAAAATAATGGCTAAATACTTAAATACTCATGTTTATAGGTCCACAAATAATACTTTTGAAATGACATATTATTATTTTTACATATATATGTTGTGTGTGTGTGTGCACATAAAGCTAAACCTTTAACACATTAGTATTCTCCTATAGAAAGGCTTAATGGTCCCTGGGTGAAGTACAACAATCTTCACATACTTTCCTCTAAGGAAACATTTTTGGATCACTTTCAGTGGTTTTTCATAACAAACAATACAAAATAAATTATTTTGGTTCTGCTTTGGGGCAGGAATTGGGGTTCAGGATGGAAACTCCTGAAATATAGTGGTGGGAAGGTGTAATGGTGGTGGGATTGGTGTTCGAATATTGAATGTAATCAAATATCGTGAACTACTTTATCAAAATAAATTTTTAAAAAATGTTTAATTAAAAAATATTGTTACATTACATATAATATATATTCTACTATATGTATAAGACTAACATGTCTTTCTTATATAAATATATGTATATATGTGTGCGTTCGCCTTACAAGCGGCCAACATGGCCGACCCGAGTTCGATTCCTCCTCCCCTCTCTGAGAGCCCGGCAAGCTACCGAGAGTATTCGATATGCCAGACACAGTAACAACAAAGTCTCCAATGGAGACGTTACTGGGCCCGCTCGAGCAAATCGACGATCAACGGGAGGGCCTTTACCTTTACCTTTAGTCTTCTACATATATTAGAAGACTAATATCCATGGCTTGTAGGGGCTAGGAGGACTGGTAAATGTTTGGAATCAACCACAAATGTGTGGGGGGCAGAGGGTAGGTAAAATAGAGAAGGGAATAGTATGACAATAATAGCTGGTTATGATCACATTGGACAATAACTGAGTGTTAAAAGTAAGTAAAGGGATATTCCTGATAACCTTTTAGTATCTGTATTTCAAACCACAATGCTGAGAGGGGGGGAGGGGAAAAGGGAGGAGGTGGAAAAGAACCTGGCATAGAGGCAGGCTAGGGGTTGGGGGAGTGATGGGAGGGGAACTGGGGAAACTGGTGGACGGATGGGTGTTGGAACACTAATCATGAACAGCTTTGTAAGGATCTATCTCACAGTAATTTAATTTTAAAAAAATTAAAAATAAAAATAAAAGTACATATTAGTCACCTTTCATCCTACAAACCCAAATAATTATTTTGAAAAGTAATAAATGGAAAAAATCATATGTATACCATGTGACGATATTTTGTATTATAACTTATATGTAACTAATACATAACAAAATAATTAGTAGGTGGAAATCCCTCTTTATAGAAGCATTTAAACACAGAAGGAATCACAAAATATCATCATTTTGTACTATTAATGAATTACGGATCTAAGCAATAACCACTATTGATTTATAAAGAAAGAGACGGGGCTGGAGTGATAGCACAGCAGGTAGGGCATTTGCCCTGCACAGAGCCGACCCAGGTTCGATTCCTAGCATCCCATATGGTCCCCCGAGCCCCACCAGGAGTGATTCCTGAGTGCAGAGCAAGGAGTAACCCCTGAGCATTGCTGGGTGTGACCCAAAAAAAAAGAAAGATAAAAGAAAGAGACAACCCATACACTGAATATCTCCTGAGGAAAGTATGCCACACCAGCTAGGCATTTACTTTACTAAGAATAAAATCCTGTATCTGAACAAGTTCTGAGATCTAAGTACCAATTTTCAAGAAAAATTGGGGGCAGAAAAGTATGTTAAATATACTAAAGGGTACTTAACAAGGAAATACGGAAATTCAGAATTGTGGGACACTGAAGGATAATCAAAAGAAACACATGGAGGATAGATGGAGGCAAATTATCTGAAGATTGTAAAAGAAAGAAATCCAAATTGCTCTGAGTAGATCCAGCACCTTGATCCTAATTTCTATACATCATTCCTTACTAAAAGGAATCAGAGCTGGAGCGATAGCACAGTGGGTAGGGCATTTCCCTTGCACACGGCCAACCCGGGTTCAATTCCAAGCATCCCATATGGTCCCCCAAGCACTGCCAGGAGTAATTCCTGAGTGTATGACCCAGGAGTAACCCCTGTGCATCGCTGGGTGTGACCCAAAAAGGAAAATAAATAATAAAAATAGAAAGAATCAGAGAACCTTGTGAAGTTACTCCTTCCATGTCTGAAATGGGTAAAGTACAATGTGAATCTGGAATGTATTTCTGTGCTACAAAGTGTTCACAGAATGTTGGGGCATGTCAAAATAGAGACCAGTCAAAAGATATCTAACAAAATGAAGGGAAATTTGAACATCAAAATGAAAAATAACATCAAATAACAGCTGATTAAAATACATTAAAAATAAAATACATTGAAAAATAAAATTTTTACCCATACTGATACTATAAATTACTTCAGATGAAGTAAGGGGAAGTTCTTTATAGAAGTATATCCACTTGATGACAGAAAATTCGCCACTTTTATATCTTAGTAAGAAATGACTCAGACAAGAATCATAAGTGAATGCCAAAACTACTGGGAAAAATAACGAGGCACAATATATTCAGTTTTTCAATTCCAAAAAAAGTTATCACATGATCCAATAATTCTACTTCTATGTATGTACTCAGAAGGAATGAAGAGACATCCTCTGCCTGAGAATGTTCATAACAATACTGTCTACAATAGTCACAATGTAGAAATAACCTAAATGTCCATCGAGGGATGAATTTTTTAAAAACGTGGTATATCCACAGAAGGAACACCATTCCACAATATAAAGGAATATAATGCTGATACATGCGTTAAGGATGAACTCTGGAAACACACCAACTGATAGAAACCAGATACAGAAGACCACATTTGGGCGTGGAGATTACTCAATGGACTGGAGTGAATGTTTTGTGTGTAGGATGCCTGAGTTCAATCCCCATCACTAACTGATCCCCCAATCACTGCCAAGAGCAACCCCTAAGCATACAGACAAGAGTAGGACCTGAGCACTATTGGGCGTGGTCAAAAAAACCAAAAGACTTTATTTTTGTAAGATTCCATTTAACTGAAATATCCAGAACAGCAAGACTACAGGGACAGAAAATACATTGGTGGTAGTTAAGGTAAGGGGGGAGAGATGATGGGAGATAAAAGAGACAAAAAATTGATAAGGGGCAAGGGTTTCATTAGGGGGTAGTAAATATGTCCAGAATTAGAATGATGATGATTGTACAACTTTATCAAGATTTAAAAAATCATAAAACTTGTATACTTCATAAAAGGTAAATTTTATAGTATGTCAGTTATATCTCAAAGGTAGAGCTGGAATGACAATATAGCAGGTAGAGAGTTTGCTTTGCATGTGGCAAACCTGGGTTCAATTCCTGGAACCCCATATGATCCTCTGAGCCCTGCCAGGAATGATTCTAGAGTCCAAAGCCAGTAGTAAGTCCTGAGTATCTAGTTATGGCACAAAAACAAAATAAAAATTATATCTCAAAGGTATTCTGAAAAGAGCCAAAATGATTTAGCAGAGCACATATGAATACATCTAAGCTGAATGGAATCAAGTAATCCAAACTGGAACTAAAGAATCAGTACCAGAGTTATCTTAGGTAGGCCCAGGCGCCAACAAGCTCAGATCTTTGGAGCCTTAGTGGGACGGGGCAGACCACATCCCCTGCCCTGCCAAAGACTCAGCACTCCACCCACCCACATCTGGCTCTTGCCGCAGCCAGAGAAACAGCCCAGATTGACAACTGATCTCAGAGAGACACCAGAGAGATGCCAGAGATGTCCACAGCTGGTTGTTCCAGTTCCTAAAGTCCTGAAGTGTGTGGCTGCACAAAACCTCCAAACTACAGAGCTGACAGCACAGAAAATTAGATGGGAAAATTGAATTGATGCCCATGATGCTCAATGGGTGAAACTAATAACAGAAGGTTCAATTTGCACCTAACAACTTAGTCAATCCTCAGGCCATGATTTCAGCAACACCATTATGAGATATATGTTGTAACAAGTAAAGGTAAAGGTAAAGGCCCTCCCGTTGATCGTCAATTTGCTCGAGCGGGCCCAGTAACGTCTCCATTGGAGACTTTGTTGTTACTGTGTCTGGCATATCGAATACTCTCGGTAGCTTGCTGGCTCTCCTTTGTGCCTTCTAGCGGAGCAGACTTAGGGGATGGGTGGGAAACTGGGACATTGGTGGAGTAAGAAAGGCACAATGGTGGTGGAACTGGTGCTGGGATATTAAAAACCTGAAAAAACTGTACTGTGAACAAGTTTCTAAATTATGGTGTTTAAATACATTTTCATACCAAAAAATGGATTAATACATAGTCTTGTGATTAAGATGTGCAGGGTGCGAGCTAAGGCAGTAAGAAATGAGAATGGTGAAAACAGCAAAGCTAGCAGGCAGGGGCTTAGCATTTATAAGATATGGTATGGTAAATAAATGTGTGCAGAAAGCTGTGGGTGAGGACCAACTGCAGGGTGGTCTGGTGGATGTGAGGAAGTGAGGGAATGTCAATGTTATGTCTGAGTGTGGTTTATTTGATACTCCAACTTTATCAAAGACCAAAACCTTTCTGATGTCCTTACACTCGAAAGTGGGGATCTTGTCTGCATTGCTTGAATCAAGCCACTTACCTGGGAGGTTCCAAACTGGGACTTTTCCTTCTTCCCAGAACGACTCTTGTAATTCCAGTTTGAGGATTAGGTCCGGTTTGGTAACTTCCTGCCCTGTTAATTAGAAATTTTGGCAAAAAAGACTTATGAGAAAGGGGAAGATAGAGGTCGGGACAATACACAATGGTAAAATCAACCATTTCACCTAAGTCTTGAGTTCACAAACGCCTCATAAAATGAGCAAAAGGGAGAAAAGGAACTGTGATATGCAATATCACACTCTTCAAGCAGTTCAGATATTGCAAGTTTCCAGTACTAACAAAGGAAAGGCCCTCTCCTGGACACAATAATCATAAACAACAAAATTACCTGACAAAGTCATTCTTACCCACAGAGACTAAGTTGCTGTAGGTTTCCAACATCACATCTCTGAACAGAATCCTCTGGGGAAGGTTCAGGTACTGCCACTCTTCCTGGGTGAAATCCACAGCCACATCCTCAAATGTCACTGGTCCCTGTAATTGCACATTCTTTTTATTCTAAACTCCCCTATGTTACATCCTGGGTAATGAGGATGTAACATAGGGGACTTCTGACTGTCTGAACTGCCTCAATTCATAATGACAACTTAATGCAAAATGTCTACTTTATATCAGTTGGTGACCTACTCTGTGGGGAAATGAATCATGGTTGGGGCCAGAGAGATAGTACAGTGGGTAAGGTGTTTGTCTTGCATACAACCGACCTGGGTTCATCCCCAACACCCCATAAGGCCCCCCAAGCACACCAGAGATGATCCCTGAGTGCAGAAACAAGAGTAAGCCTTGAGCACTGCCAGGTGTGGCCCCAAAAAATATTTGGAAGAAAAATATTTCATTATGTAACAGAATGTGGAAAGTTATGTGATACAAGCATATAAGTAGACAAATAATCCAGTCGAACTAATAGGAGTGTCCAACTATGTATGGACACACAGGTTATTGCAAAGTTGTCAGTGTAATGAAGTGGGGAAGAGGATAGTTTTTTTTTTTAAATAAATGTGCCTAGATTATTTCTTTCCTTTTTTTGTTTTGTTTTTTGGGTCACACCCGGTGATGCACAGGGGTCACTCCTGGCTCTGTACTCAGGAATTACCACTGGTGGTGCTCAGGGGACCATATGGGATGCTGGGAATCGAACCCTGGCTGGCCACTGTACTATCGCTCCAGCCCTAAATGTGGCTATTTATATGGGGGAAATAACATTTAATGATAAACTCTCAGCATATACAAAAATCAACTACAAGTCATTGTAAATCTAATGTAAAAGTTAACTCAATAACGTACTATAGAGTATGGCCCTGGCACCGCTTGTAGCCCAGTGCAAACCTCAGGGGGAGTACTCCTTCCTCCCAGCCCAAATTCTCCTCTATCGTCTTACAACAGCCCTAGTGCTGCCACTTGCTCAGCTATCATGAGCATCTGGGAATAGAACCCCTGGAGCAGAAAGTAGGCAGAGTTTCATTCCTCAGACAACTGAACAGGAACAACAATAAAACCAAAGGAATTCAGCCATGTAAGAGAGGTTAACAGAAGTCTAGGAAGATCCTCAATTATATGAGACCTTTAAATCTACTTGAAGAAGACTTTAGAACAATAATCATATTGATGCCCACTGATCTGAAAAAAAAGACATCTGAACAGGGAATTAATAAACTTGAGGAAAGCCTTATAGAAAAAATAGGGAAACACACATTCAACTAGAAAAAAGGAGTTAAGGAATACAGTAGCAAGTCTCAGCAGCAGAATGGATAAAACTAAATCAGTGATGTCAAAGATACAGTGCACAACTCCATCAATAAATAAGAGGAAACAGAAAATAGAATGGGAAAAAAGTATTATATATTATTGACAATACTAGGAGGAACAACCTCAAAATCATAGAAATCCCAGGAGCAAAACTAAGAAGAGGGTAGGAAGGATTATTGAAAAAATAACAGGTGAGTACTTCTAGTTGAAAGAGTTTGATAGAAGTACTGATTCAAGAGACACAAATAGTATAAATCAAAGTAAGCCCAAACATATCACCAAGACACATGGGCTGGAGAGATACTACAGTGGATAGGACGCTTGCCTCGCATGTGGCCGATCTGTGTTTGATCCTCTCTTCCCCCGAATACCACTATTCCTGAGTGCAGAACACCAAGACACAGTGTGATAAAAATGGCAAGAACCAAAAACAGGTGTAGACTTCTTTAAAAAGCAAAAGAAAAGTAAACCATCACACAAAAAGGGAGGAAAAAGAAGGTTCACACGAGATTTTTCTAAGAAAATCTATCAAAAAGAATGGAGTGATATACACAAAGTATGGGGGGGAAAGAACACCCAATAAAGACTCTACACAAATAAAAGGAAAAAATTAAAATAGAAAACTAAATTTTAAAAAAGAGACTACTCGAGGGTGGGAGGGATACTGGGACCCGTGGTGGTGGAAAATGGGCAATGGTGGAGGGATGGGTGTTTGATCATTGTATAATTGAAACTCAAGCACAAAAATTTGTAAATCTAAATCTACAACTGTACCTCCTGGTTTTTCACTAATAAAAATGTTAAAAAAATTTTTAAAAAGGGACTACTCGAGAGTTGAAGGAGGGTTAAAAAAAATCTCAGGTTTAAAAAACACAATCTCAGATAAAAAGCAGCTAAGAGGTAAGGGAAACTGGGGACACTGGTGCTGGGAAATATACACTGGTGGAGGGGTGTGTGTTGGAACACTGTATGACTGAAACCTAATCATGAACAACTTTGTAAGGGTCTACCTCACAGTATTTCAATTAAAAAATAATGATAAAATAAAATTAAAAAACTGAAAAAGAGAAAAAATGCCGCTAAGGACATTTGTATCATCTAAGCCAGCACTGTTGGGGTTACTGAGTATCTCCCTATAAAAAGCAAAGAGAAGGGCCTCGAGCTATAGTACAGTAGTAGGTAGGGTGCTTGTCTTGCACAGACAAACCCGGATTTAATGCCTGGCATACCATATGGTCCCGTGAGCACAAACAGGAGTAAGTCCTGAGTGCAAAGTCTGCAGTAATGCCTCAGCAACACCAGGTATGGTAAAAAAAAAACCCCAAAAGGCAAAACTAAGCATCATAAATAACCAAATTCCTCACAGACATATGGCAAAAAATTCATCCATATATATAATTTCTCTGAATGTCAATGGACTGAACTCATCCATAAAGAGGCACAGAGTGGTTGTATTCATGAGGAAACAGAATTAACCTTGTGTCGTTTACAGATACAGGCTTGAACACTCACAGAACAGACTCAGAAGGAAGATGGTGGGGGCACAGCAGCACACGTGAGAGCTGGCAGAGAGGCAGCAGCTCTCAGGGCTCTGAACAGAAGGGCCGATTGGGGTTATATTTCTGCGTGAATGACTGTGATGCCCTCTAAAAACCTTCTCTCAAAAAGAGTGGCTTTAAGTGGAAGCAAACTGGCTCCCTGCGCCTCAGAGCTCCAAAGCTGAGGGACCTACCGCAGCTCTGGGCGCTCTGGAAAGAAGTTTAGCATGAATAAGTGGGGCTCTTAGGCTCCAGCTGGTCACTACCGGGGAGTGCAGGCACGGAGTGGAGGGGCGCCGGGTCCCCACCATTGGAGACCGGCTCAGGCAACTCACCGTCTGCAGGGCATCCCCCACTCTCCCCAGCCCGCGCCACCAGTGCTGCCTACAGCATATAATGGAGGAAAATATCCCTAAGCGCCAACTGTCTGGAGACTGAGGATGGGGGCATGTGTCCCCTGGGCAGGTTCTGCCAAACTGGTGGCTACAACCCATCCAGAGTGCCTGAGATGCAAACGGTAGCAGCTCTGCCTTCGGTCCTTGTCCCTCCTACTGCCACTGCCCCACAGCTGCCACTGCCACTGAGGCCCAGAGGGCAGAGCACCATGAGGGCAGGGGTTGAGGGCATCTGCAATCTGATGGTACCCCTGGCCTTCCTGACACCCCCAAATTGCCACTTTGCTTCTGGCCAGACTCCAACAACTCAGGACTAAGTTTTCTGAGAAATTAAATGACCAAAAGTTAGGTATGTGGGAGCCACGCTCACAAACTATCTCCAAGTATCTCCGGCTCAGCCATACAATCTCATTCATCGGCCTTACTCCAGAGACACATAAATAAATCTTGAAAGAGATCAAAAGCTGCAGTTAACCAAGGACTGTGCAAGGCTAACCAGACCAGGGTAAATCGGAGGGGGCCAGGACATCCTAGTGTTCACCCAAGCAAATCCCACGAGAGCTGCCACTTTGTTCCCAAATCCAGAATTGCTACCATGCCCCTCAGTGGATTCCACCATCTCAAGATGGATCTCACTGAGATATTAAACTGCTGAAAATTCGGGTATTTGGGTTGCGGGAGTGAAATATCCAGGCTTTCTCAGAGTCAGGATGGGCTATCTCCCCACCACTTTTGTATACTCCTGGAAGCACCTGCAGTCACCTCCATGAACCATTCCTAACGCCACTATGTAAGCTCTTCAACTGACCTAGCTTTAGAGACCTATAAATAAATTTCAAAAGAAATCAAAAGCCATAGTCAATCTCCAACCTGCACAGTCTGAAGAGACTGGGGTAGATCAGAGGGAGAAAGTAGCCTGGCTCTTGCCCAAACAGAGCCCCATGGCAGTCTCTTGCTTCCACAATCCAAAGTTGCCTCCATGCCCTCAGCCAGACTCCACCATCTCGGGATGGACCTCACCAAGACATTAACTTGCTGAAAATTCAGGTATGCAGACTTTATGACTGAAATCTCCAGGCTTTTTTAGGAATTGATACTGGCTACCTCTTTCCAACCCCCTGTATTTCTGGAAGCCCCGGCAGTCACGTCCGTACCTCACAGCTGCCACGCAATTTATAAAAAAGCTACTCAAGCTTTACCTTCCTGATAAATATACTGAACATCCTGAACAAAAACAATGACTTTTCAGCACCTATACTGCAAAACACAATGCACAAAAGGAGAGAGAGAGAGAGAGAGAGAAGAGGCAGGTGAGGGGCAGGTGAGGGGTGGGAGGTTGGGGTGGTGATGGAAGGGAAACTGGGGACACTGCTGATGGGAAATATACAGTGGTGGAGGAATGGGTGTTGCAACACTGTATGACTGAAACCTTATCATGAACAGCTTTGTAATGGTCTATCTAACAGTGATTCAATTTTAAAAAGAACAGATTCAGAGTGAAACGGCAGAAAATAATCAGATAGGCTAATGGCAAACTATAAAATCATGGATAGCATGGGAAGTAACTGGTGAACAGGCATCAGGTTTTCAGTTATACTGGTGATATGGGTGAGTGGAATAGCCATATATCCAAGTGAGTGGAATAGCCATATATCCAAAACACAGATTCAACAACACTGAGAACATGAGACCTAAGTTCCAACAACTGGAACTCTGTAATGTGCCTGTCAAGTTGACAGGCAGGATGAAGCAGGGGTTGAGGGTGGGGAGGGGATATGGGAACACTGGTGGAAGG